GGAATGAGAACAAGTAAAATGATAAAGAGCTACTGAGCAGCCCATACAAGAAATTTTGTTTGCTTGGTGCCAATATTAGCATCATCATTGAAGGGATAGAAGAAGAAATTGTTGCAGCGAGACTGAGAAGCCTCAAAGATTGGGAGCTCAACAATCTCTTCCATTTCACAAGAACGGAAGATGTACACCAAAAATTAGCCACGTAATCCTCATATATGCCCCTCTCGAATGGAGCTAGGCGTGCCAAAACCTGTAACAGAAATAAGGATAAATCAGTTGACAGTTATGAAAGGTTGGTTAAAATTATTATAGGATTATTTTTTCTAGAAAGAAGCTAATCTGGAAAATATAATCAATTCTCAGTCACAATAATGAAAGACCCATTGAGTATAATGGCTTAGACTACAACCATACCACACCAGACAAACTCAGTATATCCCACTTCCCACTCAAGAGTAGGATGTGGAGGGAGATCTCTACTCCAAGAGGGCCTTAGACAAAAAAACACCCACGTGTAAACAATGCACTCATAACTATGTCAATTTCTAATTTTGTAATGGGACATGACTATCTCAAGTCATCGTTGTTGCAAAATGTTAAACATGTTATTAGTGGACACTGCCAATGATGATGATTTAGAATTTTCATCTTATTATTTATTCCTTTTATAGAAGATGGTGACAGAAATGCATCTAACACAAAAGCTTCCCACTATGCTTTAACTTGCATAAATCTATAGCCTTAACTAGTTTTATAAAGCTAATTGGCATGAAATTTAATGGCACTGAGCCACTGACCCCAATGATAAAACTTTTACCGACAAATGACAAGAATGACCATCACATTCCAAGGAAATAAAAGAGATCAATAAGCAGTATGGAAGAATGCAAGAGTCAAATTTCATTTTTGAATTTTAGACATCCAAATTGAACAAGTGAAGAGAAAAGAACCCTAGATAAGGGTATGACCATATATCCGTACCTCCAATAATGATTCTTTTGAATAGAGATATGGCCACCAAATCACAGTCATGGTACCCAATACCACTAAGCCCAGCTTTGAGATTTCAAGAAATGGATTTCTGTGCCTTAGACATTTACCAAAGAGGTAACTGAAAAATGCAGGTGCAAAATAGGCACTCATCTGCAGAAGTTCAAAAAATAATATAGCAAACTTTATACTGCTATGACAGAAAGTTCAAACAACTTGGTATTCTGAAATCTGAAGGTTTGGATTACAAACATAACAAAATACCAGTATCCTATGAAATTTTTGGAGAACAGGGGAATATTCTAACACCTGTTTGTGATTGAGAGCGAGTGTGAACAACATTGAACCAACAAGATCCCTATCAGATAATATTGCAGAAACAGCAGCCACGGCAAGACCCAGACTAATGCAATTGTACTGTCAAAATAACAATGGGAGTACAATTAACCATTTTAGTTTTAAAAATAGGGAGAGAAATACAGTCACAAATATATCTGTCATTCTTTTGTCTCTTTCTTTATTCATTTTTTATCTTCTGATCCATTCACGTTCTTACAAAAAAGCATCCAGCCCTTGAACATGTATGGAATTGCATTAGCAAATGGTCTCAGACTCTCTTCACAAATCACCCATATGTATTTCCCTTTTGCTTTAGTGATTTTAATTTGAATGTTGATACAACTTTTTATCATGCATCCAATTCTGATTACATGTTTGAACCAAACAAGCTACAGAAATTTGGGCAGCAAACAATTTTAAACATAAATGATAGAACAAACCTGAAAGTGACCATGATCGATCAAAATTAGACACGGGTTCAGCAAAACCATTGCAATGTGCCACACTGAATGGCTTTTCTGTTGAACAGGTTTGCTAGAATAGTACACCTTCATAAAATAAAAAACTGCCGGGAAGAATATCAGAGCATCAGATGATACAACCGTCCAACGCATCAAGAGTTTTCTGTGATTTAGAAATAATAAAAATCTAATCAAGAACGGATCAATTGCAACGAAATAATTTGAAGAAAGTAACTATCCTGGATAATTATGCAAGTACCCGATGTAAGACTCGTATCCCCGAGAAGTGAAGAGGGAAACTGACTGCGGATCGAAGAACTTGAGAAAAACTCCATGAAAATAGCTCTGATATGCTGTGAGAGGAGGGTAATCGAGACCCCAGTACTTCAGATTATTCAATGTGCTGTTTCGATACCATTCTCTTACTGGGAGATTGACTGTGATCTCCATCCAGTGCCGCTGGGCCTCGTAGTCTCCGTACATCGGCGGCGTCCCGGCGCCGGAATATGAATGGAGGGACACACCGAGTCTTACTAAGAGAGCAAAGAGGCTGATACAGAGAAATGAAGCGCCGGTGCTCTTCCACACAGCCCATCCCCAGATACTCCCGTCGGATTCCAAGTCGCTTTCGCTCGCCGGCGTCGCTTTCCTTGCCTTAGGCTTTTTCTCCATCGGAAAAAACTCCGATTGAACCCTACCCGTGCTTAATTAATCAAATCCAGGTCTCATGACTCCGGTAAACACAAATGTTCGTCTGTGAGTAGAACCGGGCCGAATTATTAATTACGGCTTGGAGTGATTTTGAACACTTGAGACTTGAGTTGAGAACGTGATAGTTGAAACTTTTTACCAAGTAAAAACATGAAATTATTTAATTTAAAATAATAGTTCAAATGACATTGAATTTTGTTTGAAAAGTTAATGATTTTTATCCTCTTCCATACCTCCCATGCCCCTCGTACCCCCAACTCCCGGCATACTCACCTTCTCCTCTCCATCGATTGGTAAAGGAAAAAAGATTGTGGTTAAAAGAAGTAGGAATTATCATGCTTTTGAACAAAACGATGTAGGACGATTGAGTAATGTTATGACATTAAAAACCAATGTCACATGAATTGTACCATTAATTTATTACGAGTATATACTACATATACAATAAAGATGAGGCCTAATGTGACATCAATCACTTATCTCTCTAACTTCGGCTCAATTGAAGGACATACGATGCTCTGATCGCAAAATGATGGTTCATATCCTCCTAGCTAAGCCAGCCTCTCAACTTTGCCCTCTTTCCCTTAAAACTTAGTCACCATGTGGCAAATTTAAATCAACCTAATGGTGATTAAGGGAAGGATGTCAAGGGTAGGGTGGGTAGGCCTGTCAATGGGTCAGATTCGGACTGATCCATAGTATTTATGCCCGTATCTTTTTTAAAAAAATTGATCCTGACACGTACTCGTTTACCCGATGGGTCTCCTAGATTTGGACCAATTGAGTCTCGGTATCGGGTCTGGCATATCCGTGATAAAAGTTGACGTTTTTTATTTTTGTATAATTTAAAAAAGTTTAGTGGAAATACTATGAATGAAAAAATTCTTAATTAAATAAAATAAAAAATAAGACTAATACGTTATTACAACAAAAATCAATCTTCTTTACAAAAAGTCTCCAACAAAAAATCTTAGATTCATAACCAATCTTCTTGTCACATTCATTCATGTTGCAAGAATGTTCGTTATCACATTAGAACTCATTACAAATTATTTATGTCATGCTACCACATAAACCAAGGTGTGCATGTCTCTGTTGTGATGAAATAAATACAAGTATATTTGGAAGCCACACAACCAGCGAATAAGGGGATAAGGTTTTTTAGTATTTAATATTATCCATTCATTTAGGAGAATTTACCTAAATATTACTAAAACATTTCACATTTATTCAACTAGTACGGGTTTTAAACGAGTCGGAACTACTCATCATATACCCGACCTATTATTTTTTTTAAAATAACGAGTACGGATTCGGGTAAACAGTATTTTATAAATTCCTAAACCTGCTAAAAAATAACTAGTTATTATACGTGTCAGATCTATACTCAGCCCATTGACAGGCCTAAGGGTAGGAGGCAACGAGGTAGGGTTTAAGGGGTGGATTAGGAGGTTTAAAATTATCAATTTTACGAACCAATTACTAGAGGTGTCTCAATTGAATTCGTATCATCATTTGACACTAATTAGAGTGGTGTCAATATAGACTTGCCCTTTATTAAATTTAACGTCTCAGTTTACTCATCTTACACTATGTTTAGTTCAAGAAATTTGGAAGAAAAAAAGAAACTAAACAGTTCTTTCCATTTTCTTGGCAAAATGGAAAGAAATTTGTTTTTCACTTTTTCCTCCTCATAGTACATTTTGCATTTTCTATCGCATTTTCTTTTCTTTTCTCTTTCAAATTACCTGAACCAAACATAGTGTTAACGTCTATGTTAAATTAGTTTACTCATTTTGAATTTTTAATGTCTACGTTCACTAATAACAATAAAATTTAATTAAACATTTGGTATTAAATAATTTGAGAATGTACAACTGTACAAGGCAGCATTGAGATCCCAAATATATTCACATTTTAAAAAACGGATGAACCCCATCCCCTCAGACCCCTCAGACCCAATGAGTTGAGAGGAGGTAAATTGGATAAAGATTCATGTTTCAAACTACAATGAGAAGTAATGATTCATCATCAAGGATGTTCCTTCCAAACAAAAATTAGATTGAGAAGTGAGAATTACAAGATGTTTTAGATGATAATACATGAAAGTGTTCTAACAACTCGAGACAAAAGATTTGTAGACAATATGGAGTTGGAGCATTCAAAGATGTCAAAGTTGAGATTGAAAAGCACAGATGTTTTCCTTCACTGCTAAACAACTTGGACACTTATATGGTGATGTGCTTTGATTTGAAGACGTTTTGTATACGAGTAATAAACAGTAGTGACACAATAACTACAATTGCAATGAGATGCTGTATATTGTTGGGAATTAAACACACAACACACACAAATAATCTGCGAGAAACGAGAGAAACATAACACAAACGACACACAAGAATTTAACGTGGTTCGGTTTCCCTAATCCACGGCTGCAACAGGAGGAATTTCTTATTTCACTTGTGGTGTCTCAAGATTAAAAATACAAGCCCTCTATATATAGGGAAATAGCTAGGCTTACGCACAACTGGGCCGGGCCGACAAACAAGTCAAGCCCAAGCCTCCACAAACCCAACATTCTCCCACTTGGAGGCTTGATAATCATCAACTGTCATCCACCACGATTGCCTGTACATCGAGTAATCTTCCCCAGCTCTCTTGTTGCAGCGGCCCTCTCATCAGACAACTGAAGGGCCCGTTGAAGCTCTCCCAAGCTCCAACACATCAGTCACGGCTAAATCTGCCCATAACTCGTCCTCGGTCCCTACCGGCTCCCACTGCAGACGCACACTGCCGGATCCTGAAACATCCTGAGAACAAACACTCTCCATACTCAGCAAGAAATTTTCTGGAGATGTTCCAACAGCTGTAATACTGGTTCTCCTGACCCACTGTCTTCTAGGCAACTTGGCTGAAGCGCCTCTTGAGCTCCCACTGCCACAAATACCTCTGACTGGCCTCCTTGAACCTTTTCTCGCTCGTTCATCCTGAGTCTGACCAGTGGCTCTAGGTTTCTCTCTTGCACAAACAACCTTCTTCTGCCCACGAGACTATGTGAACTAGACTTTGTTTCTCTTCTAAACTGGGACGGTCACTCCCTCAGACGGTAACTCGACCATATACAGCGAACCTCTCTTCTTTCCACGGGCCATGACAAGATTTCCCTTCACGACCTTCCACTGCCCATCTCTGAACTTCACCTCATGTCCCTGTTCATCCAACTGCCTGACAGAAATCAAACTTTTCTTCAAGGCTGGAACAACTCTGATATCCTTCAAAGTCCAGAAACCGACTGGGGTCATCAACACTATGTCACCCATGCTCGTCACATCAAGAGCACTGTCGTCCGCTAGTCGTACCTTTCCAAAGTCCCCAATAACCAAATTCTGCAATGCTTCACCGCTGTGGGTGGCATGAAATGAAGCACCAAAATCCATGACCCAGGAATCCACATTGCTTTCCTCAAAGCAAGTCAGAGTGACTTCCTCGTCACTCGCAGAGCTTTTAGCAATGTTCACTTTATTATCATTCAGGCATTGATTCCTAAAATGCCCCACCTCCTTGCACTTCCAGCACGTTACACCTGAGCTATCTCGAGTCTTCGACTGACTCCTTCGTCTATTCGTGCTCCCACTACCTCTGCTATTTCTTCTGCCTCTACCAATATGAAGCAATTCACCAGATGATTCTCCGGAACTCTTTCTTCTGACGTCCTCGCCAAGAACGAGATCTCGAATCTGATCAAAGGTGAATCCATCGAGTCCCACTGAACCGGAAACTGCAGTAACCGTTCCGGACCAACTATCAGGTAAAGACGATAGCAGTAGTAAAGATTGAACTTCATCATCGAACTTAATGCCCACTGACAAAAGTCTGGCTAAGATCGAATTCAGCTTGTTGATATGCTCGGTAACTGAAGTGCCTTCTTTCATTTTTGTGTTCACCAGCTCTCTGATCAGAAAAACTTTGTTCGCTGCAGATGGCTTCTCGTACATGTTAGACATCGCGTCCATAATTCCCTTCGTTGTCTTCTCCTTCAGAATGTTGAACGCAACATTCTTGGTCAACGAGAGACAGATCACGGACATTGCTTTCCGATCCAACCCTGCCCAATCTGCATCTGACATCTTTTCTGGCTTGTCACCCAATACCACCTCCAAATCTTTCTGAACCAGCAAATTTTCAATTTGCATCTTCCACCAACAGAAATCTGTACCATCGAACTTCTCAATTCGGAACTTCCCGTCTTCTGCCATCTCAAACAACTTGACGAGATACCCGGTACAACTAATTTCAGATCTTGGTATTTTTTTCATCAGAAAATCAGGTCCACCACTCCAATTAATTAGCCCAAACCAAAACAAGCCAAATACACCAAAAAGAAAATAGCTGGCCAATTTAAAAACAAATTGGCCCACTGCTTTTTTCTTCAATTCTTTGGCTGCTGAATACGACCCAACTCCACTGCGCCTGACCTCTTTTCCTTCGCATCTGCCAAGCAAACACAACCCCTTTGATCGACGGCTTCAATTGGGCAAGTAGGAGAAGATGGCAGCGGGCCTGGAGCGTCTGTGCGGCGGCACTGTACGGAGGCGGCGGAACGACGTGGCTGCACTAAAATAAAGGCAACAGCGAGTCGGCGAGCAATCAGGCGACTCCTGCTCGCGAGTCGGATCTTCCACCTCTACTCCGGGCGTGGCGATGGTTCTTTGCACGATCTGGACGGCGTACGGAGGGATCAGCGGCTGCGATCTCCTCGAACCAGCGGCATCAATCAGAGGACGGCAACAAACTCCTCAACGCGGCGGCGGCGGACTTCACCACGAGTAGCGGCGAAAACAGATCTAGACGGCGGCGGCACTCACGCTGGACAACCAGATCTTTTCCCAGCAGCGGCTGCTGCTATAGATCTCTTCAGCGGAGCAGCGGCCTATTTTTCCTTCAGCGCACGATTCTTCCGCGCCTTCAGATCTGCAAAACCCTTGACAACTCGCAATTTGTGTTCGTGTTGAACAACCTAGCTCCGATACCACTGGTTGGGAATTAAACACACAACACACACAAATAATCTGCGAGAAACGAGAGAAACAGAACACAAACGACACGCAAGAATTTAACGTGGTTCGGTTTCCCTAATCCACGGCTGCAACAGGAGGAATTTCTTATTTCACTTGTGGTGTCTCAAGATTACAAATACAAACCCTCTATATATAGGGAAATAGCTAGGGCTACGCACAACTGGGCCGGGCCGACAAACAAGTCAAGCCCGAGCCTCCACAAACCCAACATATATTTGATCCAAACCAATTGGTAACACAGAGTTTTTTTTTAAATTCTGTTTCTTGAACTATATTTGTATAGCATTGTTTAAGTGATATTGATTATAGACTCGATTACAATGTAGTACTTTCTCACCCTAATGACGCATAGTGAACCAATGCATCTGCTTTCGTTGGGAAGCAAACCTGGGTGAGCTTTCTCTATGAATCTTGGGAAGTAGGCTATCTATCACTCAAGCTAAAGAGAAGCTCTCTTTGAATAATTGAATAGCATTGTTTGCTACATTGTTTACAAATTGTTTCATGGACAAGTGCATTCATAAAATGACTAAAAGAAAAACAAGATCCAAGAGTGATTGAAATGCAAAATTCCTCAAATAAAAGCAAAATTGAAGCCAGGGTGTGTTGAAATGAGACTCAAAACATGAATAACCGAAAGAATTGTGGAGTTCACACAATGAGGTAGATGGAAACATGCACAAGAGATTCCCAATTTGAGTATAAGTTAAAGTTTAACAAAGAAATATTTGTATTGGTTGTTAATTGTGGTATAAAGCATTACTCGTGTATGAATGACCGCGGTCACTCTTTAAAGGTGTAGCAACCTTCTTAAAGGAACATTGATATAGGTCTAAGACATTCCAATTGACTTAAACAAGCATCTGAACTCTAACAACATGTGACATTTATGTCATGAGCTCGTCAAATGGATTCATTATCGACTGTAGGCATAACAAAATGAGAGATGATCAAGGTTAACTGACAATAACAAAATGAGTTTTTAAGTCTCTCTCAGGGTTATCCTAAGAAGCGTGCAGAACAGAGAACCAATTGGAAGAATACCACAAAATTAAGAGTTAGCTATTACTATAAAAAAGATTACGATTTAGCTGCCTTAAAGTAATTCTAAGATAAGAAAGAATCATTTGGTAAAACAGCACAAAACTAAGGGTTATCCCAAAATGTTCTTAATGTAAAATAAAAAATATAATACTCTGTGACCTAAAGCCTATATGTATAACAATGATAGGGTTCTTTTGACACCGGTTTTGGTCGTAATAGTATGATGGTGCTCCTTAACATAACACCCCCCCACACACACACACAAACCCTCCACCCCTAAAATCATTGAAATGCTACATTGCGAGAAAGCCAGTATAGCATTTTGGTGATTCCAGTGGTTGTGGGAAAAGGGGGTAGGACACACTTCGGGGCCGAGTAGAGCCCTCAGCACTGTAGGACCCTTAAGTGGTCTAGTGTCATATTATGACACCTCAAGGTGGGTGTCAAAAGAACCTTTCCGGTGTAACAACAATAAGGGAGAATTTTCCTTCAAAAAAATATTTTTTTAATGAAAAAGGTGAAACAATTATTAAAAAATCACTCCGAAATCCTACAAAATAAGAAGTGAGAAATGAGATCATTAAAGGAGTCGATAACTCCTCCTCTTAACTCCCCCTAACGCCCACAACTAAACACACAACTCCTCCACTTTCCTACCCTCCGCGACCGCGTAAACACCCACCCACCAACCAAACAAGAGTTTGGTATAATGAACAGAAAAATGTCAAGGCATGTGTAACAAAGATCATGTATGTGGGTTGGGGTATAAAAGAGACCCACACTTCTCAACAAGTACAATGCAGTACTGCAAAGTAATACTGCCAAATAAGTGAAATTCTAAACTACTTGTGCAATCCTATTGCCATATTATCCCTGCATTTTTCCATGGTGATAGTCACACATATGTATTCGAACAACACGAGTCTCAAATCTTATTTTTTGTTAAAGGGGATCACTCTTGGTACCATTGTTATAGATTGCTGACCAAGCAATCGGTATTGAAATGTATATGAGACTGAAACTCAGGATATATAAAGCAACTTTGCTACAGCCAAATGTGGTACTTAAACACAAACCAACATTCACATAAAATCTACAAGGAATGTACTAAAAGATCAGATTGAGCACATTTGAGCCAACATAATAATAATCATCATCCAAGAAACACAAAGCAGAACAAGGTACGAATACAAGTGAAATCAAGCCTAGTGACACAGAAAAAGAAGAAGAAGAAGAAAGAAAAGGTTAGCCCGAATTGGTAACACTCTGTTGCCACAGATTGATTATATCAGTGGCCTGATTAAGAAGGATAATCATCTGTTTCTGGGAAATCCAAGGCTTACTCTCTAACAACTCCTTCAGCTCTTCCCAAGCATCTTTCCTTGGCCAAAAATAGTAAGGACTTAAAGGGACTGTGCCATGCCCGGGTATCGCTTGGTCAAGTGCAATCCCAATGTTCTTTTCCATCCATATGAACTTTAACACTAACCTAGGTTTCTCCATTGGCTTTACCACCACTCCAAGCTTCTACATTTTCAAAATTTTATTGAACTAATGGGGCAATTATGCTTAGAGAAATGCTATATTGGTAGAACCTAACCAATTTTTTGTCGAATCTAGAAATTGAATTGCTGTAATTCAAAGATGAAATTGATGAAAGCCTGAAACCTTATAAAAAAAGGTTTACCTCTTTCTGAAGAGGAGCCGGGGAGAGTGAATCACTCTCTGAGGATTCTTCGGATAAGGAATCGACAGAGGCGGCGGAAGATGGCGCGGAGACTCTGAGCTTTGTCGAGAGGACGACGGAAGGTCGAGAAACCGCCCTTCGCGGAGGTGAGAAGAATTCGAGTTTGTTTTGTCGAAAGAGTTTCTGAGAAGAAAATGATGACGCCGGCGATTCAGGAATGCGATTCACCGCCGGCTGTGTTACCGCCGATAACATCATGCCGTTGGATTGAGATGGAAGAGGCGGACGGGAAGTTGCGAACAATGCAACAACTTTGGATAAGGCTCATAAGGTGCCAGTTATTTTCAATTGCATCTTGTGTATTTTTAACTTAAAGCACATACTCCCTCCCTCAGTTCAAATTTTTTTTTCCTAATTTGATTTAGTATGAAAATTAAAAAAAGTTAAAAAAATGATGGAATAAAGTGAATACTGTAGATAAAAAATATGAGTACGATGATATATTCAATAAAAGTTTTTTGCCAAAAGAGAAACAAGAAAGAAATTTCTAAACGATCCAAAAAGGAATGTAGAAAAAATTAAATGAACGGAAGGAGCATCAATTTATTTGAAACCCCTACAATATTTCATTAATAAAATTGATGGTACTTACTACTAACCCACTCACTAAACTCTTCATTCCTAACCCATCCTTACCCTCTACCCACCTTCATACTCTTGGAGTATACCGTAAGAGTACCAGGGTAAAGGACGCAGGAGTAGGATTGTGATGAGAGATTTAGGCGTGGGTTAGGAAGATAGAAACCATCAATTTTACCAACGGGATACTATGGATGTTCCAAACGTACTGGTATAAATAAGACATAGTTTTTAGACTTACTCATTTTTAAAATTATCCTAAATTAGCGTTGATGGTGTAAATTAGTCACTCAAGCAAAAGGCTCTAGACGAGGTCGAGGGCGATATGCTGGATAGAGGCACTAAAACCATACTTAGTTCGAGATTGACTGGGAAGACTGGTGAGAACACCTGTAGTCTAATCTAATTGTTATTAAGATAGAAGAATGTTACAACCTAGGATTATTAGAGGGTGCTTCAAGAGAGTGGAAATTGGATCACCTTCAAGGAGAAGCTACACACTAGTATCTATTGTAAATCTAAGAGCATGAGCCACATGCACCCATGCTTTGCCACGTGCTAAGTCCTTGTTATGTTCCTGAGGTGATGTTTCCTCGTCCTGTAGCATTTGTTCTTCATTTTCTGGCGTATATCCTTTGTGCCTATCTCCCATTGGCGTGTAGTACCAGGGGATGTTCTTGAATAAGCCCATGATTGCAGTGAACCAAGTCCGTCCGACCAAGTTACATTTATCCAATCAAACCTGGCTCATTATCTGTTATTTATTTCCCCAAGTCCAAGATGTCCACCCGGTTAGTTTCTTGAAGGGAAGTCAGGATCCTTTAGGCGATGTCACGTTGTTTGATCGGTTATTCGTGGATCGTCCGGTTAGTTCTGAGCCAACTGACCGGCTACTTATTTATGCACATTTACTATGGACGAATCTGCCGTGCGTTTATTAAAAAAAAACACATTGAAAATTTTAAATTTAAGTCCCGCCTATAATAGTGTTGCCATTGTTATATTCCAATTGGAAAAAGGTTTCACCATTGGTTAATTAGAAATTGTTATTGTTTTTTGTGTTCATCAAAACATATTTTTCTTGTAATGAGTTTATTTTAAAACAACAATTCTTCCAAACACTGTCTTAAACAACAATTACCCGGGGCACATACAAAACAAAAACATTCTTCATTAACATATTCTAACTTGAGATTATCTCTGATCAAACAAGTACAAAAGCACTTCACCTTAAACAAGACCAAAGGACTGTTATAATAATGTTTGACAATCTCGGAGTTTAAGAAGACAATGAGGGAAGAGTAATAATCGATCAAAAAGAAAAGGGTAACCATGATTGCGAAACAAGAAGCCGAACTTACACTCGCATTGGCCCTTCCTGCTGAAGTGTGTACTCTTTCTTCATTTCTTCCAAGACCGTGTCGTTCGTACTGCATAGAGAAAATATGTATTGTAAGTCATACTGAGCCTAGTCACTCTGTCCCCCCGCCCCTAAAAAAACCCATGTTTCAAAAGTTCTTCCTCCCAAATAGAGTAGACTTGGACGAAACGAAGCAAATTTTTCATGTAATTTCCCAAAATTTAAAAGCGGTGGATTGGTCAAACAAGACTCCGACAGAGGATTGTAGGCCAAGTAGGGAATAACAGAACATCAGAACAGGCACTTAAAATGCAGCCTATTTATGAGATTAATAAAAACATAATATAACCATACTCACAACTGATGTAGGCAATTATTTAATTCTTTGGCCTGTTTGCGGCATTTCCAAACCACTGATATTGTTTTCCCAGTTGCACATTCAGCGTACTTTGCAGCACATTTATCACATTCCTTTAGTGCCCTTTGCTTCATTTTGCTACGCAGAGCTGAAATTTTGCTTATTATGGAAAGGACGAGTTTAATTTATGCCAAATGACCTTGTAAAAACTGAAGTGAAAATTTGAAATAAGTAATGGAAAAAAACATGGAATGCCATTCAAAGAATACATTTCATTATACACACATTAAGCAATGTTGTAATGCTGTATACTCCCTCAGTCCCTCCATTCCTAAATATACTATAGAGTCACTATTCACAAGTCAAACTATATCACCTTTCTTAACTTATTTAATTTAATCATTCGTGACAATAAAGTAGTTTTGTCACCACCTATTTTATAGCATTTTTCATGTAGTTTTTAAAGATGTAAATTTCATTTTTAAATTTTACACAATTATTTAAATGAATTCTTGGAATCAGCCTCTCTACTTTTAGGAGGGGTAACGTCTGCCGTCTGCATACACAGACCCTCATTGGACCTTGTTGTCGCTAGATTCTACTGGGTTGTTGTTGTATATAAATAAATCGAATTAAATAAATTTGGTCAAACATCATAAACTGGAATGTGAAGTTTATTAAGGCTCTAATGCTCTATTTGGATTGGGGGCTTGGGGTAGAGAGGAGTTAGTAAGAGTAAGCGTTCTCCCTAAACCGTTTTTTTTTGGAGAGTAAGGAGTTACACCACGGACCACCCCCTCTAAACCCTTCACTTTTATACTCCAATTTTGGAGCGTAAGAGAGAGTTAACCAATAGAGGGATGCTCTTCACCTTTGGCTCTGTACAAATATCATCACCCTTTTAGTTTAGTTTTTTTAATTACTGTGTATTTTATTTATTTCCTTCCTTTTTTTGTTTCAGAATTCTCGTATAGATTTAATTTTTTATTATTTATTAAATTTTATAAACACCTATTTTTCTCAATTCAAACAAGAGTTAATACTTACACTTCTTAAACTCCCAAACAACTACCCCCCTTGTTCCACATGATTGTTCCAAAACACCTTTCTCATGGCCAAATCATCCTTACATAGTTTCATTGATCATTTGATAAAACAAAATGGTCAATTCACCTCTTGTTTTGTAAAACTTTTAATGTAGTTCTTAAATAAATAAATTTTATTTTCTAATTCAAAACCAATTTTTAAATAATCTAAATTTAAAATATCTTCAGTTAAACATCCTAAACCAAATCAAGAACACTATGTAGAACATAGGAACTTGGATTTGTGGTGACAGGCTTTGGAGTTGCATGGCTTGCATAAAAGTCGCACTAAGACAAAGTATATGGAGTGCAAGTTTAGCAACGGAAAGGAAAATAGTAACATCAAAGTGAATGTTGGAGAAAATACTATACCAGAAGTAAAGAAATTTAAATAACTTGAGTGTATCATTCAAGACAATGAAGAAATAGAGGATGGTGTTAACCACAACACTCAATCCAGTTGGTCAAAATGGCAGAGTTCTTCAGGCCTAATATGTGACAAAAAAGTACCTTTAAAACTAAACCGAAAATTTTACCATACTGCAATTAGACCAGCTATGTTGGACAACGAAGGATGAACATGAACCCAAGGTTAGTGCGCCCGAAATGAAGATGCTTCGGTAATGAATGGTTGGATAGAACAGGGGATAAAAAGATATGAGAGCTAAAGTAGAAATGGCACCTATTGTAGAAAACATGGTGGGAACTCGTCTTAGGTGGTTTAAACATGTGGAGAGAAGAACAATGGAGCATTCAGTGAGAAGGGTTGATCAAATGGTGAAAAGATATGTGACTAGAAGAAGAGGTAGACTTAAAAAGGCTTGACACAAAGTGCTCGGGGTGTCGTTTTATCCATGTAACTGACCCCATGTAGTAGGATAAGGCTTTGTTGTTATGGTTGTGTATTTAGTCTCACTAACTCTTCCTCTCTCTTTCTCTTATTTACTCCTACCCTTTGAACTTACTCTCCCTCCAAACATAGCCTAAGAGATGAAACAAGTAAGTCACTAGGCAATCCAAAGCCAGAAGAGCATCCCCTAGAACCTACTTACAAGTGCAACCTAGGTGATTCCTAACTTATAAACACAAAACGAAAACAATAGACTACTACCACTTAGTGCATGTTTGGATACTGCTTCAATATTTTGAAAAGACTATCTAATGACAATGTTCCAATTTAGCATTTTCAAAGTTAATATGCACCTTTAAAAATTTATTCAAAATATTAATTAAAAATGTTGTTCCCAAACAAAGCATTAGTGCCTTCCGGGGGGTGGGGGTGGATATACTAGGCATCTATCCAAACTTACACCAACTTATCTATGGTTGAAGAACAAGTTCAACCATGGAGAGTGGCCAAAACTCATTCATCTACAATAGCCAAGCGAATGACATGAAATTTTAGCTACAGATTCTCCACTGCACAAAACCACAGTGTCTTGAAACCCTAAAGACGATAAGCAAGTGTAATTTGCTAACTTTGTCTATGATTGAGGGGGGAAATCAAATGAATTCTCTCGAATTCGTTGATTGCATAATAACACAGTTTCTTCATATCATTTCAGCAACAAAAAGGTCGGGAATACGAATTTAGGGTTTTTGACCAGAGATGTACGCGTGCATACCTTCTTCAACCTTCTTCTTGACGTGATTTTCCCTTGCTTCTTGTACGTAACCCATGACGCCTATCTCTTCTCGAAGAGATACCACACAGAAGTGAATTCGTATATTTATTGTTTGGATTCTGTAATTGAAACCAGCGTTCTACACTTTTTTTGGTGAAGTGTAGAATGTTACAAGTAAACCCAAAATAAAAAATGCAAAAGAGGGGGTATGTTCAATTTTAATTTAGTCTTCTTTATAGACTCTTTGGAATTTATGGATGATTGAGTA